GGAATTGTGTCCTGGGTCTGGTCTGCAGAAAGCCTGAAAGCAAAAAAGTCAAAGAGTAAATTTTCTGTGCAGCTCAGCCTGTGTCTGACCTGCCTGCTGGCAGCACCCCCCACCGTGTGCACAGCAGGAGGAAAAGCTGGAGGGAGTCCCCTGCTGCTGCTCCATCGTGCCCCCACAGGGGCATTAGCAGTGGTCACACTTGCCCTCCTCTCAAAGGAAACTGATGATGGCACCATCCCCCCCAAAACTAGGAGATGTCCCTTCTTTGAGTAGCTCTCAGAGAGGAGCTTAGCAGCTCTGCCTGGGAGTGAGACTGCAGCACTGCCCGGGCTCCCCCCCAGGTACTTCCCAAGGGGGAAGCATCCCCATGGCTCCCCAGCCACTGAGTGTCTGCAGCTTACAGAGCACAAGATCAGATCTAAAGGTCTGTGCACAGAGCATGCAGCAATGAAATCTGCCTCCAACAGAACGTTCTTCTGTGTATCCTCTCAGAGAGATGAGCTGCTTTTCTTGGTTGGTACACAAACGTGTTCCCTAGAAATTACACCTGCAAAAAGGGGCAAATGTTGGTGGGGATGCTGTGACACTTTATCATGCTCCAGCCTGCAGAATGACACTGAAACCTTTGATGTGGCTGGTCACTCCTGGTCCCTGGGGATGTTCTCTTCTTTACTCAGCAGTGGTTTCTCTCCTAGAAGGATTCTCCAGCCATCTACTTACTCATACACATCCTAGGGCCTTCTGGTTCCACGGGCAGGTCAAAGCTTTCCACACCACTTGGGATTTTTCCAGTGGCAACACCTCTGCCAGGCACTGTTCAGAGGGGGAATGCACTACAACAGGGATGCAATCCAGAGTGGTCCTGAGCTGACAGGGGAGTCCTGTGCCAGCTGAACAGCTCACAGCTTTTGTAATGCATGCTGCTGGGCAAGAAGGGAAGTGGTGAAGGGAGGAAGGCTTCCTCTAGAACTTCTTCTGATTCCATTTCCACTTCATTCCTGTATTCTCCACGGCAGGCCCAGCCAGGGAGCAGGATGCCCACCCTGGAGTGTGCTGCCCCCTGGCAGGGCAGTGCTTCAGCAGCTCCAGCACACCCAGGCTGTGAGGGCAGGAGCAGGAGCAGCTGGACTTGACTCTCACACTGCTCTGAGGCTTTGCTGTCCCTCCAGAGGCCTGTGCAGGGCTTTGAAGGTCTCTGCAGTGCCACTTGCACAAAGGAAGCCACAACAAGTCTGTGGGCAGTCCTAAAGGTACCTGTGCACACTAGCTGTGCCACCCTGCCAGCACCAAATGCCATTTCAGGGGGGGATTTTGGTGGCCATGAGAACTTCCTACATGCTCACTCTAATCTGCTGAGCAGTTTCAACTGAGAACACCCCGACCTGCAAGCATTCAAACCATTGAACTGCAAACAGCTTTCCCTTCTGAAGTTCCCTTGCAAATTTCAGAAATCACATCCAAACCAAACACCTCATTCACCAACCCAAAGTTTATCACAAACTACACAGCACATCTGGAGCTGAGTGGAGCACATGGCTTGGCCCTGAGTGAGTTTTCTCTCCAGTTCCCATTCTGACAAGAGAACAGGTTAAGGAGTGGAGTTTGGATGGCTCAATTTTGTATCTGGGTCACACTCCTAAGTTTCATCTCCACCCCAGAGTTGGAAAATCACACAGAGCTTTGCCCAGAGCACTCCCAGCTCTGGGGCTGTTGTGAACTTGGCAGGAGGCAGACAGGAGGCATGAAGGTGCAGCAGTCAGTCACTCATGCCAGAGCCTGCACTGGTTACAGAGCCCTGCCAGACTCCACATCACACCCTGCTGCTGCCTGTGTGCCTTGTGCACTCTGCAGCTGCCAGCCTGATTCTTCCTCCACAGTAATTTTGAGTTCTGTCATCTTTTCCTTCTCCCATCCCTCCATCCTCTTCCTCTGGATATTTCTCCCCTGTTTGGGATGTGATGGACTGTTACAGCTCATGGAACACAGACAGAGCCCCCAGGCTTTTGAGATGGCTGTAGGACAGGGGCAGGGGCACACCAGAGCAGTAGGTGGGTGCTCAGTACCCCCTCAAGTCCTGGGTGAGAGCACTCCACAGCCCAGGCGACTCAGGGATGCCCCCGAGATCCAGGGACAGGCCTCTCTCCAGGAACTGGGGTTTCCTCTGACACCCTGCTCCCTTCAGGCACCCAGCACCAAGGGTGCAAGACTTCCAAGGATGACATTGGGGTCACCTGTCAGACAGAGAGAAGGAAGGAGAGAGGAGACAGAAGTCTCACAGGGGAAGGTCTCCCTCTTCACCCTTGAACAGAGGTTGAGGACCACTCTCAGGACAAGGGTGTTAGTCTCAGGTGGGTTAAGTCAGGGCAGGATTCATCTCCAGCCACTTCCCTCTTCCATCACATCACTGACAAATACTGGGGAAGTACACAGATGAAAGCAAAAAGTATTTGGGTAAAGAAATCCAGAGCCAAAAGAAACATCTCTTTATCACCTCCCAAGGCAGAGTACTGAGGGTGTTAAGGATACACATGGAGACCAAGACAAATGGTCATTTCCACTAAAGCAGCAAAGCCAGGGTGCTGGGCTAGCCAGAAAGCCAGGACAGAAGCTGGGGACACCTCAGGCTGTACTCCCAGGCTGTGATAAAGGAGGAAGAAATTGAAGACCTACAGGGTAAGGGCAAAATCCAAACCAGGTATTTAGTTGTATACTTTATTTTAAAACCAAAAAAAAACAACCACATTAAGAAGCATATAAAACCTATCCAAAAATATTCACAATGCTGTTACAGAAAAAGAAAATAAAGAGAAACCATGTGAGAAGGACCTACACGTTTCAGTCCAAGCCAACACACATCTTTGGCGTGAAGCACAGAATGCTCTCATGCACAACTGGGGGGAAGCTCCCAAACGTCCAGGAACCGTACAGAAACAGCACATCTGGGAGGGCCAGAGAAGTGACAGATCTGCATAACTGAACCAAAACACAGAGGTTGGGAAAGAGGTCACAATACTTCACAGCAGCAAGTTTCACTGATCTTTGCAACAGTTTGTTGGGGAAGGTGGAAACGTCCTCGCTCTAGTTACTGACAATGCTGGAGACAGGCCCCAGGACAGACAGTGGGAGCTTCTCAGGCCTGCTCTGCAGCAGGGTGTTGTCAGGGAAGCTGGGGCTACCCCTGCTGCAGCAGTTCTGCCAAGCTGGCTGCCCCTGAGCCTCCCTTCCCCTCCCCCAGCTGGGCATCTGTGGGCCTGCCTCCCACAGCCTGCCCGGGGTGAGCTCCAGGGGGGTCTGCAGGTGGAGCAGAGCTGGAGTCAGAAAGGCACCAGCTGGACCTACCTCTGTGCTACCTCTGGGCAGCTCCTGCAGGACTGAGCAGACACTGGCCTGAAGGGTCCTCAGAGTGCTGCTGCCAGCAGTGCAGAGGTCCCACCCACGTGCCACACGTCTCCCTGCCCTGCCCTGGCAGCGAGGGTGGGGGCACACAGACTCCTGCCTGCCCAGCAGAGTGACAAGCAGGGAGAGCACTAATTACTGATGGACAATTGCTGTCTGCCAGATCCCTCCTAACAGAATGCACATCTACACTGCACACTGGTGAGCACCACAACATCTTCATGCAGGTATGCCAGAGAGGACAGGGGCAGAAACACTCAGCCTGCAACTAGCCAGAGGACTGAGCTCTGCAGAGCTTGCACAGGACTCAGCCTGCACGCCCCAGGGACTGATCTCTGCAGCTCTACCTTTAGGAGCTTGCACCTGCTACAGCTGACCACACCATGTCAGAACAGTCACACTACTGCCTGTCTAATATACAGAACAATTGCTAAGAAAATAGAGCTTTCAAAAGTTATTTCTATCCTTAAACATCTTTTAAGTAACAATCTGCATATTTTAGGGTCTGACCTACTAGAATACAGCAGAAGCCAAAGAAAGTTAAACAAATAGAAGGCAGGAAAAGTTTCCTTCTGGTCTGCAGTCACCACCCTCAACCATCCCATCCCATGCTAAACTCTGACTGAAAACAAAACACTCACTTGCTGCAAAGCCACACTTGCCAATCAACACTTGGGAACAACATTTGAAGTTGCCACCCAAAAAAAAACCCCAAACTACTCAGAAGTAACAGATTTTGGTGGACAAACATACCTCTTCTCACTGGTACACAACGCTCCAATCTCTTCCTCTAGGGCATAAAACTGATGTGCATAATTGGCTCTGTTGTACATACCATCCCAAACGCCCAACCTGTGCCACATTCCTCTTCCAGTCTATTGCACCTCAAGTCTACAGCATCTTTTGTTAGAATAGTTATTTCTCTTTAAACATCTTCAATTGCATTATCTGTACATTTTTGTACAACATTAAAAAAATAAATATTTACAAAGTGACATACAAATAAATAAACTCAAGTAAAGTATGCTTCAGTCTGGCTATACAAAAAAATAAAAGAGCAGGAAAAAAAATATGTAACTTGGTCCCCTTTTTTTCCTGAGGCTGAAAAAAGTGCCCACTGGACAGGAAAAATGAGAGATGGCTTTTTGGTAGGCATGTGAAATTCCAGTGGGACACTGCACACACACACAGGGAACAGACTCAAAGGGGCAGGGACTTTAGTGGGTCACTTCACTCCCTACAAAAATAGGAATTAGGTTCAAATCTGCAGCGGTCACTGCACGTGTAACTATGTTAACCCCAAACTGCAATCAGAGGGGAGAAAAGCACGTTGCCAGCTCTCCTCTGTTCTCCTGGTGTTTGTGACAGGGAAGATGAGATTATTTTTGCAAGTGCCAGGTGCCTTCCAGTACTTGCAGATGGGATCACCCCTATCAGATTTGCTTAATGCTGGTAAGCCTGGCAGGATGGGCACGTCTATGGGGCAAAGAAAAAATAGCAGCAATTGAGGGGGGAAAAAAGTCCCAGTTCTCATGGTTTTCTTTTCTTATTCCTTTAATGACTCTAAGTAAATAAGAGTCATAAGAAGGGGTATGTCATGAAGCTCAGGCCACTTCTTTGCCAGGCTGGATGCTGTTCAGCTCCACCTTCTCCCCAGGTGAGGTAGGGCTGGCGTCCGCTCGTCCTTCAAAGCCCCTGGAGATGTCTTCGAAAGTCCTGCCTTTGGTCTCTGGCACTTTGAAGAATGTGAAGACAAAGAAGATGACCAGGAAAACAAGGAAGATGAGGAAGACATAGGAGCCACACAGTTTCTGCAGGGAGGACAAAAGCATGAAGTTTGAATCTGAAAAGCCCATAAGCATAAATGCAATGTCATTTGCTGCTGATGGGTCAAAATTCTAATGCCCTTCCCCAACAATGCCCTTTCTGACTTGTTCTTCAAAATGGCATTTAAAAAAATTAAATCAGGTTCCTCTGGGTGTCTGAAATGCTTTAATGATCCTGGGGGTGACCAAAATTGAGACTTGAAGGGAAAGGCTCGATGGCCTTACCACTGTTTAGAGTTGGCTCTTCCAACTGTTTGTAAGCTACAAAATTTAGGGTGAGCCACAACACTCTTAACATTCACTAATACTCAGAACATAGATTCAGGGACCTCTGGAAGACTGAGCAGCCCTCTGCTCAAAGCAGGGACAACTTCAAGGAGAGATCAAGTTGTTAAAGGCCACACAGTTGTTTGAGTTCTTGCAGGATGGAGTTCCTACAGCCACCCTGGACACCTGTTTCCAGTGCTGCAACAGCCACACTGCTTTGTAAGCTGAGCCCTTACCTCTGCGTAGGGGAAGAGCATTCCCACCAGGAAATTGGAGGTCCAGTTGGAGCAGCCAGCCACTGCCATGGCTGCAGGCCGTGGGCCCTGGCTGAAGAGCTCGGCCACGATGAACCACGGGATGGGGCCAGGGCCAATCTCAAAGAGAGCCACAAACCCAAAAGTGGCAACAATGCTGATGTATCTGATCCACTCCAGAACGTCCTGCAAGGGAACAAAGCACCATCAGCTGCAACTGGAGGCAAACAGGGCCCAGCCTAATGCCACCTCCAGTGTCCCAGCTCGTTGGGCTGCTCTGGGAACACTGTGGCAGCTTCCACAGCTCTCCACTGCACAGAGCTCTAGCCTCAGCCGCACCTGCCTGCAAGGCAGCCCTGCACGGACAGGCACGAGGAATCGCCCCACAAGTGTATG